AAGTAGGATTGCCCAACCTTCCTTCCGAGGAGTGGCTGGTGGGTTTGAACCGCCAGCCTTCTGGTTAGCAGTCAAATGCTTTAGCCACTATATTGGATTTTAATACATTCACATTAGAAATGGATTTTTTCCTTCTCTTTAATCTTCCTGATTTGAGTACTAAGCACTTAACTAGCCATTTAAGTTGCAATTTATTTTCAGAATGATGACATAAACTACTTTATTGCAAACAGATGGTGGTTTATTAATGTTATTACTGATCCACACATAATTGTATGACAGAATATATGTTACTAATAGTCAAACGAAAGTTTACGATCAAGTGTGAGGAACCATTCCTTTTTATCAAGTTAATAGTTTTGCTCTAAAATCACTAATATTCAGAAATATTTCTAATTTTTTTTATCCATCCATTTAAATACACAAGCACACTTGTATGCACACATTCAAATATACAACCCTACTTCAAGAACAAACATGTTAATATCTACCTGGCTTATATGGATAAACCAAAGTGATGCTGGCAGATCTGGAACTTTGAATTAAAACTTTTATGAAATGCATCAGCAATGGAAAATTTTTTTCTTACACAGCTAATCCTACAAACTTACACCCTGACAGAGTATACTAAGGGAAAAGTTGGTATAAAATTTTCAAGTGATCATTTTTACTGGTTATGGCCAAGCCATCTATTATTGATACATTAAAAGACTACCTGTCAAGACCTGAGTTCAGGCACTCAAGAGTTTCGTATTTCCTTGCAGAAGCTGATGACAACACTAATCCCTGCACTGTGTAGGGAGATGCATTCCTTGCACTGGCTAAGTGCTAGTAATTTCAACAACCCTTGAAGTTCAGAACAGTAAAAAAACAGCTTTCAGCTGTTTTTCCTTACTGGTTTATCATTTTAAAAAATTTACAAACTAAGTTCTCAAATATGATTTAAAATAAATTATTTCTATTTAAAAGACAGTGCCTTAATTTAAAAAAGACATGCCAATATGTCTTTCTGGAGTACTGTACATGTCACAAGATGGCCTTTTTCATCAGTTGAGAACTTACATAAGAAGCAACAATTTAAGGCTTCAAATAAATTTCTGAGTTTATCTTAAAGCACAAAGATTTAGTGGCTACAGGTATCTAAATAGAACTTGCAGAAGGCAATCATAAGTATTAATAGGTACTAGATGAGATTAGGGAGCTCTGGTGGCATAGTGCCTAAGGCATTTGACTGCTAACCTGAAGGCTGGTGGTTCAAACCCACCAGCCACTCCTCGGAAGGAACATTGGATAATCTATTTTCCTAGTGATACTGCCTTGGAACCCCAAGGAGGGGTCGCTATGAGTCAGATCCGACTCAACTGTAGTGAGTTTGGTGGGTTTTTTTCTTTTTTTAATTTCTATGTGGCTTAATTTTGCCCTTAGATATGGTATCATTTTGCGTCTTTTTTACTTTATGGGAGGGTACAACATATTGTTTCTTTAGAAATTAATTGTGAATGTGACTGTCAACTCTTTCCAGGACTGTGTACTGTTATTTTGATCTCTCTACAAATCCTCTTAACTTCCTATGTTTTCATTTCTCTCCTGACCTTCTTAGTGAGAACACTAACACTGCTTTCTTGAGATACAGATCATTATAAGCTTGGCATCACTCAAGGTATACATATTTAGAACTTTTAAGTCCTTTGAATTATTTTCTGAAAGTTTTAAAAGAGGAAGATAAAAAACAAACCTGAGCTGAAACCTTGCTAGCTGGAGGATGCACATTTGTTTTATTAGATGTATCTATCTATATGCTTGATACCACTTTAAAACCTACACTAAATTTATATGTTTTCTACCTACATCAAAGAAAGCTTGCCTTGATACATCTGGCTAAGGTGCTTCCATTTTTCTTCACAGTTAAAGAAATTAAATAATCACTCGTTCATTTACCAAACTTTGTTTCTTAAGTTGGCACTTACTCAAGTTCATTTGAAGGATTTGTTCCTCTAAACTTAAAATCATAGCAGTTTGATCTCATTTATAATCAAATGAACATAAATACTTCTTACCAATAATATGCTCAACTGCTATTTACTTTTTTATCTTCCATGGATAAGATAATTTAAGAAAAATTCATGAAATAAATATTGCCAGGTCTGAAAATGTTATTTGCATGCATCTTTTCAATAAAATGCAAAGGAAAGAAGAAACAGCAGTACAAAACAAAATTTAAAAGGTCAAATCCCTAACTTACAACAAATGAAAATACTTTCTTAAAAGAGGACATCTCTGAGTAATAGAAGAGACTAATCAATAAACCATCTGCCAAGAAATGGAATAAAAAGCAATTCCACTCCAATACAAATGAACTTGTATAAGTTTATGCAAACTTGGTTAACATTTTTTAAATACAGATTATGTGGGAATAAGATTTCAAACCAAACTAACAACTCAATGTAATCATTATTATAAGATCTAAAATAATACTCATTTCAAAGATGCTAACAGAGTTCTTACATATCCTGTATTAGGCTTCTGACTCCATCATCTAGCTTCTAATACTCATTCAACCTCATAAAGCAAACTATTTTTCTTTTCATTATGAGTAAGATTTATTATTTCAATCTTAATCTATATTTCAA